CATCGGTTTGAGGCCTCCGATCGTTTCCATGCCAACATTTGACGCCTACTTCTTGGAAACTCTCAAGGAAAACAACAGTAGAAATCCATGGGCTTCCGAATGCAATAAAAGTTTAATTTGCAGTGATAAAAGCGTTGAAAGGTGTCAGTCAGAAGTTCACCACGATGGGTATGTCGCTTACATATTGGACGCGGTATTTTCAGTGGCGCATGCGCTACACGCAATGCTCAGCTGTGACAAAAAAGTGTGCGCTAAGAAATGGAGGGATGTGGACATCCGGGATCTTTCACAGTTCATTCAAAATGTATCGTTTGTAGGATATTCTCAAGAAAATATCTTCTTTAACGAAGAGGGCACTACAAAGGGAAGATACGATGTTTATTATCTGGACAAAGAAAGCAGCAAGTACATCAAAGTGGGTTCGTGGAGTCAGACTGCACTAAGCCTTAATTTATCGAGAATTTCACAACATGGACCTGATTTTCCATTTCCGACTTCAATCTGCAGTAACTATTGCAGGAAAGGTACGAGTGTGCTGTTCGTCTTTACAGTTTTAAGGCTTTCGCTATTAAGTGGCCAAGTAAAGGCTTACTCAAGACGTGCACTTCGTGCAATTTGAAACTAACTATTGGAAAGTCTTCCTCATGAGGCAATTTCGGTGAGGCAAAGAAATGAAGGGTATCGGATCGTCTCCCACTTAGTTGGTTCGTGCCCAGTTTGAGTCGGTTCGTACCCACTAAACAAGTTACATTCAATAGTCGTGTATTAAAAATAAACACCAAAGAAACAAAACTTCAGTTGAGCTGGCAGATAAGAAACTGACCTTTAAAGTACTTAACATGTAAAACAATCATTATTAGTTTAGGTAAAAACTGACTGATCAGACTACAAGCTGGTTAATAACTGACTGAGTACGAAACGTGCGTGGGTACGAAACGACCACATGCAAAGAAAGAAAGCGTCACAAAGGGTGGTACCGGAAATAAATAAATTCAAAATTAAGAAAGACTCAAGACTCAAAATTCTTTGCCCAAAGTTTAATTTACGCGAGGTTTCACCAACAACTACAACATCGTCAAAATCAACATCTAGAATTGATTTCTTCTTCAGTGGAAAGTAGTTTTGGTTCTTATAACTTTTTCTCAATATCTTTACGTTATCCACTCTCTTCTTTTTGGACCAACAAAAAGATTTCACAATTGGTGTCTTTATCGCTAAATAAAGGTCCATTCCCCAGCCGTGAAAACCGCTCCTTTCACGTTTCTTCTCCTTTCGCCCGGTAATTGTTGCTTTATTTCCTCTTTCACGCCAGGCGAATACAAGATTCCAAAATCCCAGTTCCCGGAATGCTGCTGGGATTGTGCAAGGTGCGACGGGAAATCATTTACCAATACGTCACACATGACCAAATGTTCCTATTGCCCAGAAGGAACTTGGCCCACCGCTGACCACTCGGCGTGTCGTCTCATCGAAGCGACCTACCTCCACTGGGGTGAGAGTTGGGCAGTTGTGATCGTCTCCTTTTCATCATTTGGTTTGATCATTGTGATACTCACTGGCGTTGTATTCATAAAATTTCGCACAACACCGGTGGTGCTAGCTGCTAGCAGACAACTATGCTACTTCCTTCTATTGGGAATTGCAATGTTCTACGTGACACCTCTTCTATACATCGCCAAGCCTTCAGCGGTCACCTGTAGAATTCTTCCAGTTATGTTTGGGCTCTGCTTTGTACTGGTGGTTGGTAAGTACGGTTGCTGTTGCGGCATCAGCCTCTAACCAGGCCTTTATTATCAGCGCTTCGGTAAGTTCGTTTCTGCGCCTGCGTAAAAATTATGAAGCTTGAATAACACGAGCCGGTGAGTGGTCTGTAGTAGAGCCAGACTCCCGGCAAACCTCTTCCCGACTCGTCTTAACCCTCCCCCCCCCCCATGCCACCTGCGGAGGAAGACGCGCGTCCTACAGTGCTCGTAATGAAGGACCTGCTCTGAGGCTGTTACGGCATGTAACTTTTCCGTTGATTTAACTTTAACATTACGCTTAAAAAATCACTGGTCTCCTTGTCTTTGAAAGTTAGTGTGGACATTCGTGTTCAATACTAAAATGATTTCTTTTCCTTCCTCTGCATTTTCATCTTTCCCAGGCACAATTCTCATCAGAACAAATCGAGTGTCCAGGATTTTTAATGAGAAGCTTCTTCGGACAGGGAAAATCAGTTGCCTTGGCAACCACTGGCAGATGTTTATATTAGGATGTTTGTTGATCACTGAGATCGTACTCACCGTTGCTTGGGTATTCGGTTCCTCGTCTCAAGTGTTCCCGCAAGTAATCTATTCCAAGGCTTCTAAAGATGCCTCTCTTATCTGCAGCTTGAGCGGAAGTCACATTGGATTTTCTTTGTGGCTTATCTACAACGCAGGCTTGGTCGTCGTGTGCACATATCAAGCGTTTCTTGTAAGGAAAGTGCCACATAATTATAACGAGTCTAGATTGATTGCGTTTAACATGACCACACTATGTATTACTGTCCTTGTCTATATTCCGTCGTACATGGGTACCTCAGGCTGGTATCGGACAATTATCTCGTGTTTCATGCTTATGTTTCTTGGAACTCTCACGTGGGCGAGTATCTTTGCACCGAAGATTTATATAATTCTGTTCCGACCGCACAAAAACATTCCCATGAGACCTTCCGTGAGCTCCATCACCCTGGGAGTGATCTCACCCTCGCATACTGGGGTCAGCAGTATTAGTGAACAGTACATGTGCAGTAGGAAAAATTCTCTGAATCCCAACGAAGATGGAACGTGGGGAGGCTCGTGGGCCAAGACTGATTCGGCTCGTGAACTGAACGAAAATGTAGCAATCACTGAGGAAGATGATTCGCCGTGTGAACAATTTGATGATTTTTCCGAGAAAGAGCTGAAAGAAAACCAGGAAACTGATACCAGTATAGCTGATAAGTCACAACCACAACAAGAAAACTGTAAAATGACACCCCAAAAGAATACTTCGATGGTGCATTTCGAAGACGAAATGCTAAATGAATGCGATGAAGGCAGAGACACACAAGTGTTCCCTGAAAAAAAAACCAGTGGTAGCCAAGGAGGTATCTTAAGAAGAACTTATAACTCAGAGATTCACGAAAATTCCATTAATGGGATCGTTCCAAGGAAGAAAAAAACATCACTAGTTCGTTTTCAGGACGAAGTGTTAAGTTGTGATATTAATAATTTAACAGACTACCATAGGATTGCGCTTCCCGCCAAAGGAGAAGAACCCATTCAAATACCGAAAGGAAACCTTGATGCGGAGACCAATAACAAAGGAGAAGTGTATTGTTCATGTGCTTCAACTTCAGCTGAAAAAACAGAAACCAACCGTGTCACAGAAAAAGAGAGAAAGCGGAAAATATCTGTCTTCTCGTTCCAGTGACAAGAAAAAAATATCCGATAAATCTAACTCTTTACTATAAATATATTTAGGTCATTAAAGTTGGTTGTCGTATTTTTGCCTGGCGCACCTGACTCAAAAACAATTGCGCTAAAAATTAGAAGCATGATGTAATTTAATTGCGATGCATTTTCTCTATCTGGGCAGTCTCCGGGTTGAGTTCTAATATGAGAGCAATGAGCTTCGCAACTAATGAAAATTGTGCGTGAGTCCCATACCAGGTCGAGCTAAAAGGCTTTTCTTTTTCACGCGGTCCTCCTATTCTCGCCGTAATTTAAAGGAGGAAAAACTCTTCAACTGTACAGCGTTAAGACAAAACATTTCTCATCGCCTTCTTAGAACTCGGTCAAATTTCTCCAACATATCTCCATAAAATGTCCAACAACTTGTTTGTAATATTAGTTTAAAACAAAAAAACTGGTCACATCTGAGACAATTTTATCCCAGTTACTTTTCAGTTGTCCTTCTGGTGTACCTTCTCCTCGAAAAACTGGTATCACACCTTGCAAAGCTCTCGTTTTCTTAATGTTCGCAAATGATTTGAAATAAAATTAAACCCATTTTGTATGGACTTTTCGAAGTTGAATAAAACCAAGAGAGTATAATTGATATTCTCTTTATAAAACTTAGTATCATTGTCCTACCATGTCCAAATTTATGAACCTAACGCTACGACCTGTTACGAATTATGTTTAAAATGTGAACGTATAAAGATATCGTTTTCTCACAGTAAGTTTTCGCTGGCTGTGTTCATCATGTGTATGTTGGAAGAATAGGTCTAGTTTACGACATCAGTGAAGCAGACAAAGTCGTCCCCAGGTTTTCGCTCTCTCTTTTATGTCCAAAACCTCGAAGGAAGGACTTAATTATCTTCTGCCTTATTGGATATTCCCTGCATTGACTCCGATAATAGAACGTTTCTAAATATATAACGGTTGCGATAAAGATTATGGCAGCTACTTCACAATAGTTTTTTTTGTTTTCCGGGGCGATTGAAAATTTTCGATCATTGAAAGCAACCTAAAAATAATAGCTCAACGGGGAAAAGAAACAGGATTGTTCGAGGATGGAATTACCCCAAAGGGAACACGATGAAAAACACTGCAAAACTAAAAGTATAATTGGACATCAGTTATTAGAGCCCTCGACGGAGAAATCGCATAGTAATTCTCATAACAATAACTATTTCCTAGCTATTTACCTTAAACATGGAAACATATTTAGCAAAACACGCTTAACATGGATTCTGACGAACAATTGGCTTTGGGCTTCTGATTATCATTTGTCAAGGCTGGAACAGCTGGAGAGGAGGCGTCACGAAAACCCATATGGGATGAGCTAACCATGTGACAGACTATCCCGCTCGTCAAACAACCATTACACATGCGTAGTTCTCCAAAACATTGCAAAACGACCTAACGGCTGAGATCATTGGCCGTTGAATAACACATTTCAAATTTGACAAAAGCATATGGTTCGAAAGGAGCTCCCATAAAATTGTTGCGATTGTCAGGGTATAAAAAGGCAGCGAAAAGCGCAGTATTTTCATACTTACAGGGCACTGGAGCTACTGTGATCAAGAAGGCAGTGCTCCCAGGTTTCGGCCTTCACTGCACTCTTCTCGGAGGCTGAATCCTGCGTGTTCCCCACTCTTAGGGTGCACGGTGTGCAATTTTTGTTAGTTGGGCTGACCTGCGTACGCGCTCGTTGGCCCTCTATTTCAAAAGAAGGATTTACCGTGACTCACCAGGCTCAATATTCAATTAAATGCGCCTCGCTCCTTTAAGACCTCAACAAACTTAGTTATCTCTCTGATAAATGCGTTATCCAACAGCAGATAATAACGCGAGATATTGGATTGCATATGTAACGGAGAATGATGCCCACAAAAGGCCTAACAGAGAGACCCAAAACTAAGATGACTTATGGAAACTGGATTTCCCCCAACTTGAAGTCTTTGAAACAAAATGATCCTCACTTGATGGTAATCTTCAGTTTTGTAATATACTACAAATATACATCATGATTTCGAATATTTTACTCGATTTCTTTTATTCTTTTGATGAAATTTATAGAGCGATAAGTCCATGGGAATTGACACAATATTTTGGTGTATTTACTCATCAACTAGCTGAATTCATCTGTCGTACGTTGAAAAAAAAATTTTCATTCAATGTAGTTAATTCTACAGGGTCGTTAGTCAACTTTGTATAATTAAGCTTATTCCAGCGGCAAAATTAAGAACCTTCCAATTTTTCTACAACATGCTTTGAGCCAGTAGTTGTTATTGTGGCGCGCACATAATTAAACATTAATAAATATTTATATGCAAACGCTAAACAGGGAGCCCTTTCGCGATGGCTTCTCAATCACACAAAATGTAGGTAGAAAGGATAGAACAACATTCTAGCTTTTAAAGATAAGTGCAATGATTTCTCTTCATGCCTCATATATTCTTGGTTAGATTTCTGATCATGATCTATAAATTGCTTACAGGAATTTAAGACGCTCCCGAAGTTGTTCCTCATCACCTGCTGTCGGCAAACAGCGAAATTTATGGCGCCAAACATCAATATCATTATCTTTCTTAATTTGAGTCGTTTTAATGGAAAACTCAAACAAATTTAAGCCGTATCAAAATAAGAAATTTCCTGTGGGCTGCGTTTCACCTAAACGGAAAAGTTTATTGTGAGTTTACTAACTAACAACAATAACTGTTTGATCTCTGAAGAGGAAAGGTGTTTTTATCTGGGCTGATCGGTTTTCTTTTGTTTCAACTCAGCGTTTGTTTAACGATTTACTGTTTCTGGAATAATAATAATAATCGAAATAGACAGACTATAAGCAGACTTTGTTTGTGTCTTTGAACAGGCTAACGATAAACTCTGAACTGCATCTGCAATGACTCAGCTATGAACTTAGTCGGTATACACCAAAAAGAGGATTAAAATTTCTAGATCTCCAAAACAAATTGTGTGAAGCTTTTTGCTAAAGAAAGCAACATCTTCAGGTGGTTTTTGTAGCACAAATACTCTCAGGTTTGATAAATAATCGAAATAAAGTTTCGTCTTACAGGTAAATTTTGTCTTACAGATAAGTTTTGTCTTACAGATATATATATCAAACGATGTACGTCAAATCGGTTCTACAATGGTGTGATCAATTTTTGTTATAAAGATAACATAGTTTTTCCTTCCGCTTCCTTCCTCTGCTTTCGTGTAAATAAAGGAAGCCTTGGTCAAACTCAGTCGAATTTTATTGACAGAATTTCAACAGACCAATCAAACAGCCTTTCTTATGCTGCTGCTAGCCCTTATTTGGTGGTCCTTTTAACCAGTCGGAACAGAGTTTCTAGTCTCATTCAACTTGCAGAAAACACAAATATTTATTCATGCTCTCCAAAATATTCCCAAAACCAAGAGAGAGAAAGTTAGTCAATGTAATGTTTTTAAAAAAAATTAGAATTTTAGCATATTTTCTAAGTTTGAATTTCAATTTAAAATCCGCAGGCAAAAAGCCCTAAAAATAAAATTATATTGACAAAGCGGTATGGTGTTGTCTCCGAAAATAAATATGCACATTGAAATTAGAATTTGTTTTATTCTTTCGTTCAAGAACAGCAAACTGTCGCTTGAAATTTTTACACCAGTGTCTACTTCAAAGGAAAACCTTTAAAGTAGACACGAGTTTGCGTTCCTAGAAACTTAAACTTTCGGTTGGAATATAATACAATGTTTGTGTTCAATATTCTAAGAGGTAGCTATGTTTGAATTTTCATCATAGCGGAAAATTTTCTGACAAATTGCATATTGCGCCAATTTCATCTACATAATTAGTGGTTCTATGGGTAAATAGAACTACTAATAAGGTAAATGGGGAATTAGAGATACGACTTGAGACAAATTTTGGTCCTTTGTCAGCCTAATAGGACTAAACTATAAAATTGCAGCTGTACAAAAGCTACGAAATGAAGAAGAAAAGCCTATAGACTCAAATTACCAAAAGAGCTAAATTTATCCATTGATGAATGAAACTCTAGCATGTAAGCATAAATTAACACAACAGGTGTAGTTATTTGTCAAACTTTCCAATTTAATTGCTAAAATGTATTGCTTAAAAACACGAACGGCCCAGATTCTCTTCTTCGAAGGGATGACGAACCCAAAAAATTTCTATTTTTACACCGATTTTATAACTTGATACAGGTTGGGCTCATGCCCACGTACATGGAAGAGGAATCTAAAAATTAATGTTAATTTTCGGAACTCACATTGCATTCAAGTTATTAAAAATTAAAGTAGCGACCATTTTGAAAATTGATATGAATTTCTTTCTGTTCGAAGACGTTCTTGTTTTAAAGTCTCACCCGAAAAATCGAGTTGAATACTAATTATAAATAAAAGTTATTCTTATTTTAGTTCGAAGTATATACTCCCCCGAAAAGTCAAAAGAATGTTCAGAGAATGACGGAAAATTTTAATGTCGTACGTTCTTTCGGGCTTGTAAGTAGCGGTCAATGTGCGAGATTATGTAAGTTAGCTCAAAATTCGTCAAAACTTTATGTTAAGTAAATCAACCAAGGAGAATTACGAATTCAAGGGTAAACGAGTAAAAATTTTTGAAACGGTGGAGCGTTTTATCTACGTGCAGAGATCTATGGTTAAGTGAAATTACAAGATTGACGTTAGATATTATCCGTATTTTTTGTCGTTTCCTTTTTGATATTAAAGAGTTAAATTGAGAGATATTACTCGTATCCGAGACCCTACAATAAAATATTTTAGCTTACAGGTGAATAAGTGTGTGTATCTCATTCGCGAAGCCAGTTATCGACGAGAGGAAAAATGTAAACTATCATGTCCTTGGACTGGGTGTTATCTGCAAGTTGCGTTGTTCCAACAATTTTTCCTAGTTTCCTTGTTGCCATGGGCGACGCTAACGAGGTTTCGATTGGCCAGAAAGTTGTAACAACCTGCTGTTACTATAGCAACTGGAAAACAATTAACTATATTTTATTTCTGTTACACAAACTTAGTTTAACCGCTGACTTTGTTTTAGCACATTGCTATTTTTTTCAGGCATCATCAGTTATGTTATCCCGTGAGTTCCTCGTTAAGCTTTTAACTCCTAAGATCTGATGGTTAATTCTCCCCTCTCGCTCTCAAACATTTTCTTGTTAATCAGTTACGAGAATTTTGTCTTAGATCAAGATACCTGATAAGTTTGAGTATACTCAATCGCTCTGACGAAGGGCTAACGCTCGAAACGTCAGCTTTTTTACCCTTTACGGTGGCTAATTTACGTTTTCAACCCAGTTGTTTACACTAAATTACCTGCTATACTCATTACCGTTTGCTGAATAATGTATGAGTATTGTGTGGAGAAGTTATAAGTAATCACTTCTGGGGTTGAAGAATTAATATACTTGAAGGGCTAACGCTACTAGGCATATAATCCTAATGCAAATCTCAAACTTAAAACCGTAGTTACCTTTAGACGGATTACGATGGAATCCATTACTTCCCTACCAACTGATCCATCCATATGTAAGCGACACCTGTTCAGATCTTTGGTATAGTGGTGTCACTTATACAAATACATTTCTAAAAGAACCCTTCCAAAAAACTAGAAAAATAACTCCCCATTCCCCTGCAAACAGAACAATTACGAACAACTAAATCAGAAAATACTCTTCTTCGTGTGGTTTTCGTCAAAGATTTTTTAGGCCTTTTTTTAAAAGTCAAATTACATTTTAGACTTGTCAATTCTCTTCGGCGACGTTTACGGTCGCACCACTGGATATCTGTAAATCAAATTTTCATGTTAATGAAAAAATAAGTAAAACCATTAACGAGGTAACTGAAAATACGTTAATAATATGGATCCCTGCTACGAAAAGTCATCTTCTCAAATCTAAAGGGCATAATACTTTGATGTTTGATCAGTTTAAATTCATAATCTTACTGTCTAAATATTACACGAGAGAAAACTTGTAGAATCCAAAGCATCCTAAGTTTAAAGGAAAACAAAGAAGAGCAGCTAAAGATCATAAAACCCTAAAGATTTTCTACAATTTGATTACATTATTACCCTATGGAAGAAATGTGAAGAAATCTTAAGCTTTCAAGAATCGGAGAAAAATAATAACCAAGGGCTGGAGGGATTTAAAATAGTACAGATTTATGATCATTGAATTGGATAATCTACCATAAGAAAAACCTAATTGAAATTAAAGTAGGGAGTAAGGAAACAATGGGTCGAGGAATTAGATATTGGTATCCCGCAGTAGGTTATTCGCATAACGACTTTTTATACCCTAAACAACAAAAGACGAAGGAAAATTGCATTTCCAATTAAATGTATTATGCTTCAAACGCGGGATGCGATTGGCTGAAAGGGATTTTGCGCACATTTCACACCGTAAGCTTGTCATCATCTGTAGCTATATAAGCCCTGCTCCTGCTCCACTTTCCTTTAAACTTACAGTGCACAGGAGCACCGTGATCAAGAAGGCGGGGCTCCCAAGGCGAGGTGGCACATTGCACTCTGGGCCACTGAACCTTGCGTTCGCTCCAGGCCGAGCGAGTCGGGTGCAGAATTTTTGTTTGTCACCGGGTTGACTCGCGCTATCGCTGGTTAACCCCATTATGGGAGAAATGAAATGGAGGGGTCGTTTATCTGCGTAGCATCTAATTTCTCCTCACAGAATCACCCTGAAGCATCAAGATCACGGAAATAAAGGAAATGAAATGTGTGTGAGATGTGTGAGATGTGTGAGATGTGTGAGATGTGTGAGATGTGTGAGATGTGTGGAAAACAGTATGGAGAATGTAAAGGGTTAAAAGTCTATCTTATGGCATAAGAAACCTTTGTTGGTTATAACCTTTGGTAAGAAAACAAAATTGTATATGTACATGACTTCCGACAAGACTGTGCGGGATTTCTTCCCTTTTCTACAAGATTTTTATACCCAAGAAAATTTAAATAGAAATCAATTACACGGTTTGATTCTTTTGTTTTCAGCAATTTTATGTCATGGACTGCTTGACGTCTTGTTTTAACAACCATTGACAAAACAACTGAGGCGACAAAGAGGCGAACAGAATGGCTATCGCCAAACACGACCTTTAACTTGACCAAACTCAAATCAGTGAACCAGCAAAATCAGATAAGATTTTCTTTCCGAGATAATAACCACCATCTTTAAAAGAACAAGAAAAATTTAACGAAATGCCCGATAACTGTTTGAAGACGATAAAGATCTTGCTTTAAAAAAATGCTCAACCAGCTGAGCTTTATGCAAAACTTATCTTCGGTTTTTACATATGATTGGGTGTTTGAATTTATTCATTTACATTATATACACTACCTTCAAGTGTCTCTTTTCATAAGCTCGATATTTTATGTCTGTGAACCTAAAGGTCATCTCCATTTTCCTGATAAGAATTCAAATGATAGTTTCACGCGCTTGAAATTTCAAACTTTTCAATCTCTCGGCCATATTTGTGCAACGTGGTTTAGCATGCTACGTATCTATAAAACCATTATTGAAACATCGTGATTCAAAGAAGACTGACTTTACTTGTGATTTTACTGACTTAAGGAAAATTTCTATGATGGACAATTCGTTTTGTTGGCCCTCTTGTAAAGGTCGCTTTGTACATGTCACGAATAAGAGATACAATTAGAGAGCCCCTTTAAGATAGCTAGTGCATGCAGAACTTTTTTTTTCCTATTGGAGGGCCAACGAGCGCGTACGCAGGTCTGCCCGACTAACAAAAATTGCACACCGTGCACCCAAGTTCTGGGGAACACGCAGGCCTCTACCTCCGTTTGGTGCAATGAAGGCCGAGACCTGGAAGCACTGCCTTCTTGATCACAGTTGCTCCAGTGCCCTGTAAGTATGAAAATACTGCGCTTCACGCCGTCCTTTTATACCCTGGTAATCGCAGCAATTGTGTGGGATTTCGTTTGGCACCGTATGCTTCCGAAGAGAGGTCTTTATTTGATGCAAAACGCCCAATGAATTAAGCTGTTGAGCATTTAAAACCAATACGCATGGGTATCAGTTGCTCCTGTTGCCTTAGGGAGTCATATAGTCACGTGCTGACTTTGTAAAATACACCAATCTGTGTTTGAAGCGCTTTTCTTGATAAGAAACATTTACGGTGTCGCTGTGACTCAGAGAACCTTTAAATCCTGGTATGAGAGGTATCACTCACACTGTGCCTACAGTTCATGATTTCTAGGTAAATTTAGAGCACATTACTTTTTAAATAACATATTTGCTTGCACTAGGATGAGTGAATCTCGGTAACACTGCCTGGACCAAAACCAAAAAATACTACACACCTGTTAAAGGCGAAAAATGACTTATTGTACCCATCTCTGGCTCAAACAATTGCTACTTCTTCTGTAAGTTAAAGAGAGCAAGCAGGCATATATGACAACATGTAAACTTTTGACATGAGCAGTTCTTCTTGTTATATAGTCGTTTATATATCTCTAAACATAACTCCTTTATAAGTAGATACGTAGTTTTTGTAAGCTTAAATATAATCTCGTATTCAGTCTTCGAACTCAATATGCTTTATAACGTGTACTTATTTTGGAGAGAACGAGTGCTGGTCGACTTTTATAATAGTGATAAAACGTTCTTTTTCAAACAGATGGAAAAAAATATACTTTAAAGGCCAACGGTTTGACATTTGTTAACTTGTAGCCTCCGTACTTTAAAAACCTTTTGGTACGTGTCTGTCGTACGCAAGTTGTTTTATCTTACTAAAATGAAGTAGACTAATTTTTTTCAGAGTTTTGCGAAAGAAATCACAGATCTCCTTAAAAATCAATGCGATAAACATGGCGAACACAATATGTTGTAATTAATATGCTCTTGCTGTGTGCAAAAGTCGTGCAAACTTTAATTTGAATAAACGTATTGACAATTTTGGCAGAAATAGCTCTTAAATTTTGTGACTATTGACTGTATCTTCATCATATCGTGAGTTCAGAACTAGAAAGCAATGATCTTATTCCACCTCGTAACAAATTTTTTTCTCAACTTCCGTTATACCCAGCCGTGATTTTTGCCGGACAAGTAGTTCTGAATCAATCATTGAAGCTGAATCAATCATTTGAAGCTTTTGATCGCCGCAACTTAAAGAACTTTGATACATTTGTGGACAAAAGTGAAACTACTTCGTTGGGAGAATTTTATGGTGATTTTATGGGGCATACACAAATGCTATTGAAAACCGTTTTCACAGCAACTGATTCGTATTCAAATTTTAACAAAAACTTCTCTGCATGTGTTGATCTGAGCTGAACATCGTTTCAAGTTAATATACCCTAATTTATTGTTCTATGAAAAAAGCAATCACGCTTGCTTCTGCCAGAACAAAACGGAAGATACAGTCTTCTTTTCTTCAGGCATTTTACAATAATATTTGCAATAAATCGTTTAAATGCTAGAAGCCTAGTAGATTTTCAGGGCTTTTCATTTAAATATACATGTGATCCCTTTTTAATATGTTTATCAAAGGTTTCGGCTCTAATACGTATTTAATCTGGACCTCAGAAAGAAGTTCTATATTGTTTTTACATGTAACGAGCGAGGTGGCAATACCGTCTGTTATAAGGGAAGAATATTTTTGTCACAGAAAGCTTTCGGTTTACCAATGAATCATGTTGAAAATAATTTCAGTATCAATTTACAATACTTCAAACAATGGAATAAAGAAGTTTTTAAAATTAGAAACTAAATTTACCCAACAACAAAGCAATGATTAAAACACATTGTTCATGTGTATTAGGTCTACTCAATTTTACATAGAGGTAGGTAAAGTAGCTGTGAGGCACCTTGCGTAAACGAAGGAATGCCTCGAACACATATCGTAGGATTTCTCGAAAACGAGTACATAAAATAAAAACCAATGGGCTGAACAGTATCCACATGATCAAATCCACAACACAACCATAGAAACTGATATCAAACTGATGACAAGAAAACGAGGTTTTATTCAACCTTTTGTGGTCAATGTATGATCTATGTAGCTCAGAATCGACATTCGAATCTGTCTTCTGGATAAAGTATGTATTTTTTTTTTATCAGCAAAGCTCAAAAATAACTTCAACTAAGAATGTGGAGGTGCAAGGTTTTGAAAGACTTTGTTAGTTCATTTGTTTAAATCTATTTGTTGAGCGCTACAAGCTTTTTTTATTCTATGGTTTTGATTTTAAACATTTGCACACGCAAGTCGGACCGACTTAGACTCTGTTGGACTCCCGCGTTAGAAATACGCGAGAGTCAGCTCTCCACGCGCGGGCAATGAGTGCCTTATACATCGCAGGAGATCTGCTGTGTTGATCAGAGCAACCCCAGCGCTTTATAAATATAAAGAGTCTGCAATAAAACCATCTATATTCCCTTCTATCAATGCCACTCCGGGTAATTCGTGATTTATTCACCAGGCGGAGGTAACACTTTCTGTTATTTTCTCAGAAGTCCAACTGTGGTAGTCTTATTATTATCGGAGAAGTTCAAAATTGACTTGGAAATCTGTCAGGGCGCTTCATGACTTATCGACCATCTGGTAGTAGAAAGTCTCAATTATAATTTAGTTTGAAATGTATTCTCGTTTGCGATAAGTTTTAGTAACACAGTTCTTTTATATTAACGTTCTTCAATCAGGAGGAAAGGCAACAAAAATTGAACAATAGAAGGTATTTTATCACGATGTTTACACGCTTTGATTTCGTTCATTAACATTCAATTTTACACGTTTTTACCTGAACTCCTATTCTTTGGCCATGTGTAGTTTCACGTCTCTTTTGCGCAGTGAACAAATTTTAACTCTGCGAGGGTACATTTCATATTATCTCACTGAGAAGAAACAATTGCCCAATATAGCCAACAAAATTTAACTAAAAAGCCTGCTTCTCTTTTCTAATAATTATGTTGTATAGTTTTGGCTACACCTGCGTGTTGGAAACAAGGAGGGTGAAATGGACCCAAAAATTACGCAATTTTTAAAGCGACATCGACTCAAAACGTTCCACGATTTGTTGTTTTCAAGGTCATAATTTGCATCCCTAAGAAACAGTTTTGTTCAAATTTACATGAATCTCTTTTGCCTTCCGAGAAATTGCCTTTGAATTTTTTACCTTGAAAGAGATGATTTGTACGTCAGAATTATGCAAAAAAAACTTAGGTCACCATGCTCGTTTTAGAGCAAATAACCATCGTCTATCGATTGAGAAACAGTAAAGTTCGCCAAGAAATCGATATGCGCGCGCTTATCGCAATGACTTATGGGTGATGTTGTGCGCAATACAGGATACGCTATGCAACATTGAGGAATCACTTTGAGGTGGCTTTGAATCGCCTCCGGATTTTTCTTACATAGCTGATGGTTGCCCTGTGCTCTTTTCACTCTCACCTGAAAATCGAACTTTACGGTATTTTGGCAGGTACACCACTGTCATGACAATTTGTTGAAGGGAAGTGATTACTTGTTATCCTTTACCTTGCCATTTCTTTGGTTCTAGTATTTTACTGTCGTTTGATTTGGGCCAGTGGTGTAAAATCGACGCGAAACTGTACAGAGTTACCTTACTATTTGAACTTTGCCAAACAGAAAAGAAATCGGGCATTATCTACAGAAGACATTTTTCTTTTTATCATTTTCATTTGCTACAGTGTGCTTTTCAATGTGTTATCCAAGATGGTGGTTCAATTTCAATTGATCTAATAGGATTCCGAAATCATTTTCCTATTCTAAACTGTAACAATTAACATCTTAAGATACATGCAGATTGATGACAGATGAGGTGTTTTGAGGCAAAAAAAGTACTCTTTGACACGAGATGAATGTCTGCAGTTTCTAGGTTTTCCTCTTTTCTGGTTGCCTCGATGTTGAAGTGATTGGCAGATGGAAGGATATCGATATTACGTTGAATCTTTCCAAGATACGGTGATGTGTGATAAGTTCCAGTCCTGCAAAGTAGAATAATAAGCTGATTTTTTTCTATTTCTTATGTTGTAATCGTCCCAAACACTTTTCCCGAACTTTGTAAAAGTAATTAATGTTTCAAAAGACACTCGCTAACAAAAGCTTAACTCCTTGAAAAACAAATCATAAAAAACCTTAGGAAGGGTGTTATTCGTTACGACCAATCTTTTTAACTATTTATGCAGTGATTCATCTTGATCTTACAGTCCACAAAGACAATTTGATGCTAACAACAACGCATGAGTTGTATCAACCTTACACAAGGGATGGTACTGAAGACAAAAATAAAAGTGAAAACAAACTGATAAAGGATTTTTTTATGTCTTGCCGAATCAAAACGCGGCTCAGTGCGTTTTAAAAATAAGCGAAGAAGCTTGTCATCGAGCGAGGCTTTCTTGTATTCATCTCTCTTTTATTCCTTAAGAAATAAATTATTGATGCAGTAAAACAGATCATGAAAGATTAAACCAATGTTACTCGGGGCCAATTAAAATTTTTGACCTTTGACTCAATTATTTTCGCGCAAAATTTTTTGAAAGAAACCGTACCATAGAAAATTCAAAACTTGTAAACTTGTGCTTAAATTTGTGACCAATCTCAAGGTTAATTAACTTCCTAAATTTACACTCACCTGGTTAAGAATATTTCTCGGCAGGACTTCTTGATGTGTTTCTTTTCTGTCAGTAAATTCCCCTCAGCTGTTTACACAACGCGCGCTGCTTCGCAGCACTACACTGTGAGTAAAGCCTTTGATTGGCTAACAGGATCGTATCAATGCGACTTTCCCGCCTTCCTCCAAACCACAGGTACGATATAAAAGGCGGGAAATTGCGCGTGCTTTCATACTAACAATGCACTGGAGGACTGTGATCAAGAAGGCAGTCTTCCCAGGGTGGGCCTTCTTTCTGCACTTTGAAAGGGCCCTGCTCTGCGTGGAGCCCCTAAGAGGGTACACGGTGCACAATTTTTGTTAGTGGGTGAACCTGCGTACGCGCTCGTTCGCCCTTCAATTCAAAACTAAAAACTAAACTCTCTCATTATCTATTTTTCTTTATTCCTGGCACTCTTTCTTTGTTCTCCTCTTTCGTTTTCAATTTAGTCTTTGTCTAAAGCTTCACCCAGGCACCTTTGAAGCTGAAATACTAATTTCAAATTTCACAATCGACATTTGATCTTTATAAAAAAAATATATATTGCCTCAAATATCCTCTTCGCTTGTCTCTGTCTTTATAAACATACTCCTCTAGTCATTCATATCTACTTCCGACCTGAAAGCGATGATGAATCACTAGATTTGTCACCGTCTTCATCGTTGGACATACATAAAAGTCACATCTTTCATTTCTGCTTTCTTTCAGAACTCTCTCAACCTGAATTAATTATTCAAACGTACAAAAGCTGTTACTATCCTTCTCTGATATATTTTTACACTTTTGCGTTCAACCAAAACAACTCTGGTAAATTAAGGTCTATCGCAGTTCTTTCAGATCTGAACTTTCCCCAATATATTCAACATTAACCCGATAAACGAAATATTTTCCACTATAGTTTTCCCCCAACAAGATAAAATTGAAAGTTTGTATTAGGAAACGAAAGGCCTTGAAACTTTTCTTAAGATTAAGTTTCATGAATGTTTGATTTGAGACATAAGCTACCACATTTACAAATTTCCTTCCTCGAAAAATATTCCTCGCCGAGAAGAGATACAACTTTTGATTTTCTCTTGTCGCCAAGAAGTGTGAGAAAATGAAAATTTTTGCAGATTAATATACATAGCTAAAAACCGCAGTCTGATATCTAACTCAGACCCAAATGTAAAGCGCTCCGAATTAATTTTAAAGAATTAAAACATTTGTATCCCCTGAACGATAAGTTGTTGACTTCCGCAACGTTAGGAAGATTTATTCAGAACATCACAGAGTGGAATTGTTACGAAAACTTAAGATATTCGATAAAAAAAAAAACACACATCTCGAAAACTTCAGAGTAGATACTGCGCGCAACTATTAAATTCTCATAGGACGAGACTTTAGCATGAACTCTCTAAATATTATTCAAGAAATTTTCAATTTCAGCCATGCAATTATGCAAATAGGAGACCCATTTTTTTTCCATTGAGTGTTTTTCTTACATATCTGTCTTCATAGGAGTATAGCTTGAGGTAGAGATATTTCGATTTTCTATGAGTGAAACTTATCTTAATTTAGTTAAATCTTAAACAGAGAGTTTTTCTCGAGAGTGAGTTTTTTGAAGCGTAGATCATTTTTACATATCAAGATGTTTTCATGGATAACCTATAACGAGTATCTCAATTTTTATGTCAGTGTCACGCTAATATTTGACTAAGCAGCCCTAAAAATCTTTCTGTCCCTCCATAAAAACAAATAATCATGCCTTTTTTGACGTGAGGAATATGATACGAAAGCTGCTTATTATTCACGTCGAACAAAATTAATTATTAATGATCGACAAGCCTGGATTCAGCTGTTTTAGCAAAGTTCCCTTTCATCGCAACGAAATCGAACATTCTAGACAATTTTTCCACGTTTTTTGAGGGATATTTCTCGTTTGCATAGTCATGAAAATATGGCAATGTTTTCCCCGAAAATTTCTAAAATTAATCGCCTTTAAAGTCGCGCAGAATCTAACTTACATACGTTCAGAGCCTAACTCATTCTTTATTCCCTACACCTGAAATTATCAATACTCCACGCACTAAGACTTGAATTTGTCTACCTACAAATTATTTTTTTGTCCTCCAAAACTCGAACGGCGTTCTGCATGGCTGAGGAATGAATTTCACCCTTGTATAGAAAAGGATAAATGGGTTATTTACGCTGAAAAATGATTTTCTCATTTTTCTTGGTATTGGCACACCCTGTGTACACAAATAGAAGGAAAATTCAACACTAAGCTAGCGTCTTCGGTACAAATAATATATATTTGCACCGAGAAAAGAAAACAGGAATTGTAATTAAAAGTTTCCATTCCATACTAACAATTTTCTATACTAACAACCATGGCTTTTAACAGCCTACAAAACAGGACGCAGAGCCGAAGAAGAAGAAGATTAGAACTGGAAAAGTAGAAAGGCAGAATGAGAAGCCATTTTTATACCACGTTAACAAGTTTAGTTTTAGTGATATCTTTCTGAAAGCGTTCGGCGGTGTTAAAATGTCTGTTATAAAAGGTTAGTTCTGATGAAAAAGGTAAAGAGATAAATTGGAAGGAACAGTTCAATAGTAACAATTGCGGTCGTCTTCTGCGTCTTCTCCTTCTTAGCCCTAGAAGCTCTGTGTTGTGGCTTCGACGATTCACGCGCAGTCATATAAAACCACACCTTGAACTAACAAAGCCGTCTTTCCCCCGCTGCGTGTGTTTGACATTTACTGCTGAGTTTTTTCTCTTTAAAGCATGATGGCTTGCGATTATAAGTCTCTTTTCATGTTCTTCAAGCTGATTGGTTAATTATAAACAGAGGAACAAAGCTTTGTGCATTTTTTATGAGCGTTTTGCATGACAATCCGCTTCCAATCAATTCACAGAATTAATATACCTCGGTAGCTGAGCACATTGAGGTCTAAATTATGTTCCATTTCTATTCTCAATTTAGAATCTCTGTATTATTGGTGTTTGAGCATGAATTGCCTCCATTTCTCTCTTAAAACCATCCTTAACACAAAAAGACAATTTTTGCTGTATACCGACAGTCTCAATGTTTTTGCAATAATTTGACATAAATCGAAAAAAATGAAACTTGAGGAACGTTTGCATATAAAATGAGTTTGTTTGCAGACCATACTGGCAGCTTGAATTGAAAGGAGATCACGTAACCGCTAAAAGTGTAAACTTAACCCTAAAACCTTCTTTTTGTCGAAAGATCGACTTCTCTGAACGTTAAAATCTTTTGAAACACATTGTGCGAGCTCACAATAATATTTTTTTTTAAATATCTTTGAGCACGCGCAGTCGTGCAGCAGAACAGGTGCGACCGCTGCCAACTGATAGTAACCCTTGCTGTGTGAGCGCCACAACTATAATTTGGCGTTAAAAACAACCTCAAATAAAAAATCAAGGCAGTCGTTTTTTGCATTGGAAGTTCGAAACCGTCTTAGTGCTTCAAATTTTTGCTTTGGTAAGCGACAAGCAGGATTTGAAAGTGGGTTTCGTTCGTCACAAGAACCGTTTACACCTCACATGTTAACAAGATTGAACCGACGGATATGAAAATTTAGCAAGCCAAAAATCTTACCAGAGACAAACTTAGATAAATTGAGTATTTCTACTTATTCTATACGTCTTTTATTGGACACTTTATTCATTGATTGATCTGACAGTATGAAAAATTTGCATTAAAAAGAACGCGTATTTTTTTTTGTCAAAGACGACCTTGGTATAGCTTCTGTCTCTAAGAAGATGACACATTCAGAAAATAGTTGCTCATGGAAAGCGATTGCGCTGTTTATTTCAACATATTTTCTTAAACTATGATGAAATATTTTTCATATTGACGAAATAAAACTTAAAGGAAGAACGTCTTTGGAGCGAATCATAAGCGACAAAACGAAAAACTCTGGTAAAATATTCCAAAATTTGATCATTGTTCCAACTTAAACAAAATCTAACATAGGCTCCTGGGAAAAAAAAATCATTTTATGATGATAAATCCATATTTAGTTTTTGAAAGCGTTATTCTTTGCTGAAAGCTGTAAACCCAAAATGGATAATTTCTCAGTTTTCCAGATTATCGGAAAAATTGACAAGTCTCCTCTTTCATAGGAGGACATGAATTCTATGGTTTAATTTATGCTGATTCTGCTCTTGTAGATTAGAAATGTCCGGCAATCGTAAGAAATGAGATTTTCCATTGTGGATTAAAAGATAATTTCATATAATATGCACGGAAGATACTTCGCTCGACTTTGCTTGACAATTTTCTTGAAAGTGCGAAAACCATAAACAAATGAAGAACCCTTTGTTTCCGAGCGATAACACAAAAATGAGATGACAGAGGGAAACAATTATGAAAAAAATATAAATTGCTTGAAGATTTGAAGATTCATTTTGCAGCCTTTATTGAAGTCATTGGCAGTCCCGCTGCGTAAGACTAAACTTTTTGAAAAGCTTTTTCCCAGCGAATTGCAACTTTAATTTGTTTCTTTGCGAACTGATATTTCAGCGACATTTGTGGTAACGTCATTGTTACTTGAAACTCTGAAGTTAAATCTTGGTCAATTCAAAGGAAGCGTCCTCAATTAACTTTCATAAATGATATAGGTTTATCTAAATATTTGACAGCCTTCGTGGTCGTTTCAGTCTACTGACCAAACAAATACTGCACATGAAAGAAGTAATATGCTTAACTTTTCATCAAGATAACGACATTTCAAAAGTAAATCGAGTCAATATTTGAAACGGATTCAAGTTTAATATATCCGATTTTTTGCATACCATGAACTTGACAAACAATGTCAAATGGCTGAAGCGTGATGACTCGCCAATTGCTGTTCGGCTTGAAGCTTTTGGTGAGAAATATTAAACCGGCTTAAGAATAATACATGAAAATTTGCTGAAGTCCTAGTTATTATAACTGTTCGCCATGAACATGTTCACTGATTTCAATAGACAACAAAAGAAGCAGATTATACTAATAACCACAACATTCACACACACAGTTTTCTAAAACGGAAATTCAAGATAGATATCACAAAAGTGATCTATAGTGTTTCCCTTGGTTTAGCGGTGTTCGATTTGGAGTGAGTTTGACAACCGAAATTCTGAACGGTTCTCTCCTCGATCACGTGATATTCCACTGCATCTGCACTTGCGCAAATCCTGCGATCAGTAACCTTGCGCAGTTCGGGCTCGTTCTGGAATTGGACGAGAGAACATTGAGTTTTGAAAGCAAATAAACATCCCACAATAGAGTCTCTTCCACACGGCTATAAAAGCAGGAAAGTTGAAGAGTTTTACCATACTTACAATGCACTGGAGCAACTGTGATCAAGAAGGCAGTTCTCCCGAAGCGAGGCCAACTCACCACGCACAAACTGGCTGAGCTTCGCGTGTTTCCTACTCGAGTGGGTGGCGCGGTGTTAAATTTTTGTTAGTCGGGCAAACCTGCGTTCGCGCTCGTTCGCCCTGCGAGGATCGAGATTGAACACGAGACGAGGAGACGAATTGAAGAAGATGAAGAAGAATAATCAGCGGTCGATGCTTTCTCTTCAGCTGTTCAGATGTTTACTGAATCGTATTTCATATTTTAAAAGACTTTTCTATAACGGGGAAACGAATTTCTATTGCTGTTTAATTTCGATCGAACTGCATTTTTCTTTTGGTATATTATGTATCACACGTCCGTAGCTAATCTGAAGTTCATCTCAACCAGAACTCTTCTTTTCTGCATGTGGCATCGTGTAACTTAAGTCGTGTACTTGGCATCGTGTAACTTGAGTCATGTAAGCAAAACGCTGGTTCATTTAAGAAGCTGGTAGACGGAAAAGTCAACCGAACAGTTTCTTCTCGAATTAACAGCTCTAGAAATTGCCCTCGGTAAAAATTCCTTCTCAAATCTAATCTAAGTACTGCTTTATCCCCTCCTACTAAAGTTTCTCGGTTATTCTTTAAAACCTTAGCTGTTAATTGCAACTTTGCGGCTCAAATGAGCGAGACAAAAATGGAAAATGTCTTGTGTCAATCAAAGGTTTTTTGAATCTTTATTAAATCCTCCTTTACGAACAGTAGAGTTTTAATATGTCGTGCAAACCTATTTCTTATTAAACAAATTGATAAGCAATTCGGGTGTTCACTGCTTTAGCTTTCTGGCAAAGACAATTTGACGCGAGACACAGGCTTTAGTGGCGCACAATTTGATCGAGATACAGGGGCTAAAAATTATTTATTTAACACTGCGGGTTTCCCCCTGGCTCGTTCGAAGGGCTTGTGTTGTTTACACAAGTAAAGAAACAGTGTTGTTCCAAAAACACTGTCGCGGCAAAGTAGATATTTTTTCCCTTGGGAGTTAATATGCACGTGCAGGAGACACAACAGACATCTAACGTTCTATTCATTGTTTTTATTTTAAAATATCTTATGTTCTCGACCTTCCTGTTCGTAATTCATATTTGTACGGAAGGTTCTGAATTCGTGTTACTTGCAGCTCAAGTGCAACTGCTTGCTGTACCACAACACAAAAACGAGACCTCAGTCTCAAGATTTAAAAATGGAAAACTCTTCTTTTAGATTTTTCAGAACCTTTGGTATTAGGTTTGGGTACAGTTCAAACAGAACTTTACTAAGATAAGAGGCAGCTGTTTCTTCATAGGACACCGCTAACAATTTACCTTAAAAGCTTTTTTCTAGGTCTTTTGTCCCTGGCAAGTTGCTATTAACAAAGAAAATACTGGTGTATATTGTTCATTTTGACGCCTTCACTTTTTAAAAGCAAATCCCTTAACATTTTTGCAAAAGAAACTGTGGCAGGACGTAAGAATTTATTCAATGTTATTAACCACATCATTAGCAGGACCTCCTTCATTTGAACCATGATGTCGCACCACTTCGTAAATTTTCTCCCAAATGCAATAAAGTTTGTGTTTCATACTATAAAAGCCCTAAACTTGGATACCAATAACTTGGATTGCGATAGATTGAGTCGATTTATGGCCATAGATTGAGTCGATTTATGGCCAATCGGGAAAAAAAAGGAAAATGTTAATGATATCGTCTTGAACAAATATTATTGCATTTGGATCGCTGCGGCAGCGGTAAAATGGAGACTTTCTTCAAAATGACATATCAAATTTTTCCTATGTACACAAACTTTCAAACCTTACACCTGTTAATATGCAAGCTTTTTCAGAATATTACCCAAGGCTAAATTTAATTAAAGGAAAAGTCGTGGGCTGCAAAGTTTTTAAAAGAGACTTATTAGCCATGTACTAATTTTTTAGGATGTGGATCGACTTTCATGTAAAATTGATTACAAAGTGATAAAAGGGGATCCGACTTTTTAAAGTCAATAGACGTTCGCATTAGTGACAAAACCTAAAAACAAACGAATCGCAATTCCATCGGGAAAAAAAAACAGCAAAGCAAGCTTGGGTCTACATGAGTCAGTCGTTACTTGACTCAAGTCGTCACAGAGCAGGGATCGAAAAAAAAACTGGCTAGAGACACTTGGCAAATTTGATTTACGACGAAATGCTAGATCCAAAGAACTTCATTTCCTCCAAGGACGCTCGCCAGTCGTTTGTTGAAAGGATTGGAGATGGATAGAAGTATAGTGTGTCATCAAGTTATGGCATATCTGTCTTTTATCAGTCTGAGCTTCCGAACGCCAAATTTATGTCATAGGTAACAATACCTTGCCAAAAAAATAAAATAAAACTAGAAACACAAGCTTGCTTGCCACTGCAATCACAATGGAAATGAATCTAAGAAATTTACTATTCAAGACCTGAACCTGAACGATGTTTCTCTTACTGATATTTTAACATATGAAAAAGATTTAATCCAGTCAGTCATGAAAAAAAAAATGTATTGCATTTGACAGTGTCACCCAATTTGGAACGCATTTAATTAAAATTTACCGTTCTTAGCTTCGAGAGTGACTTAACCAATTTTCCAGTAAATACGGTAAATATAAAGCAAATTCTCATAATTTGTTTTTGTATCAACTCCACGTTGTAAAAGGCCCTGTGAGAGTTCTATGTCGTGCACTAAACCCTCCGATGAGCTCCGGCACAGGAGGGGGAGGGGGAATTAGGGTTGACGAGTGTGGGGGCTTTAAGTACCACAACGTGAGACATTCTTTTACACTTGCCTATGAGGTTATTACGGGGGCTAACGGGGCAGTACGTGGATGAAATGGGACACTACGGGGGTGTTACACGAGAGAAAGTGGTTTCAAATTAATGAAGCAAGAAATTAGAGAGCTACGAGTGTACAACACAATCAATCAACAAATGCGTTTAATCTTTTATTTTTAAATAGTTTCAACAGAAAAACAAAAGAAAAAAAGACAAAAAGGTATTGGAAATTGGCTAATGTTGAGTTAATCTTGAAAGTTCCCCTAACTAGATTTAAACTAAACACAATCAGTTGCAGATGATTGATTAATCTTTTGATTACGAGTTAATAATTTGCGCTTAGTCTTTGACCCTGTTTACTTTAACGAGTTTCGCATTGACTTTTTTTAATCTACGAAAATAAGGAAACGCACTTTTTGACACCTGATTGAAATCGGAAACCTTTTTCTATAAACAGAATCTACTAAACTTTAATCTTGAAGCCACTTCAATCACTACATCACTGGAACTACATCACATTGAGAACTCAACCAATAATAAACTTCTTTTGTTCTTCTAATCATTAAATCAAAACCGCCCACATCAGACTAGAATTTCTACTTGGAATTGCACGAGTAAGTTTTAAAATGAGGTCACCACGATAATTTGAGCAGGAACATTAAGAACTCGCCATGAATTATATTGTCTAACTTGCTATGCAGGATAAGCGTAGTTTTATTTCATCTGATAGTTTATCCATATGGTAAAACAGCATTTTGAGTAGTAGATAGAAAAAGCTGGTTCTGACGCACTTTGGAGACAACCTTGATTTCAAGGCAACTCATGGCGTCAACCTCTATTTCAGAGTTGACATGAAGTCAACCTTGATTTCAAAGTACAGTTCTGACAACTTTGGAGACAAACTTGATCTTAAAGGAAAGTCATGAATTAAACCTTGTAATCAAGGTTGATTTCAAAACAAAACAGTTTTTGTGCACTTTGAAATCGAGGTTGATTTCAAAAGGCAACTTG